AGATGTATAAAAATGTAGAAGCTGATGGGACGTGTTTGTCATTGTGAAGCATCCCCATTGTTAACAATTCAGTTTCAGTTCAGTTCAGTTCAATTTATTTATTTACTGTAGCGCCAAATCACAGCAGAAATCATCTCGGGGCACTGCACAGAAACATTCACAAACATCAGTTAAAAACGTTATTTATCTAAGGAGCCAACAGACTGCAAGTCTGTGAAGTTTTTGGAAGGAAATGCCAGAGACACTAATGCACCTCTATACCATCAGAGAGGCTGGTTTTTGAACTGCACACCGATAAAAGGCCGTGTGGTCCCTGTCCTTTTTAGTACAGAGGATGTAGGGTCCACATCTCTTTTTATACCCGGGCAGCTGTGGCAGAGTGGTTAGAGCAGTCGTCCTCCAATGCGAGAGGTGAGGGTTCGATTCCACCAGCAGTCACATGTTGAAGTGTCCCTGGGGAAGACGCTGAACCCCTCAATGCCTCCGATGTGTATCCCATCAGTGTATGAATGTTAAAAAGCACTGATTAGTCTATATAGATATATAGTATAGAGCTGTATGAATGGGTAGATGAGGCACAGATTGTAGAGCTCTGGGTATCTTGATCAGATAGAAAGGTGCTGTATAAGTACAGTCCATTTACCGTTTATTCCTTTAAACTGGCCGGGCCAATTAACCAAATGAGTTTAAAATGCTCCTCCAGTTGTTTCTTATTTGTACCACTTGCTTTTCCAACCTTCTGTTGCCCCTGTTCCAACTCCGAGATGTGTTACCAAAAAATTCAAAATTACCTTATATTAACCCCAAAAAAGGAGATGCCGTTTTTAAGTTTCAACAATTGATAGGGATATTATTTGACTTTGTTACTAAAAAAAAAAAAAAAATTCCAACTGCATGCTTTTTATTTATATTTTGTACCATTTTCTTTTGAACTAGGGTTGTAGTTTGTCTAAGGACACATGTAAACAATAATTTTAATTTAGCTTGAATTCCTATTTGGAGCCCTGATCATCAGTCTGACCAAAGTCTGAGCAAAGTTTGCACAGCTGAGCATCAAACATAATGATGGCCGAAATGTGGCAGAACTCATAAAACAATTCATAATTCAATGTCTTCAACCCCACTGAGCTCACGCATTTGTCTCGAAGCCAAAGGAAAACCTCTGGAAAATGTGTCTAACTGTACGTTTATTTGTGCACCAGTTTTTATGGGAAACGGCACAATTAAAGTCACTTTGTATAAGTTTTACCTCTTTGCTCTGCTTTATAGAGGACATTAGCCCTTGAGTGGTGTATTTTTTATCTTCTTATTAAAACAGCAGATGGTTTTACAGTTCTCCAGCTGCATGTTGTCCTTTAGTCTCTCTGGACAGTATCTAAGGACACCCGGAGTTTTGCCAGGCTGGAGTTTAAATAGTACAATTATCTCATCAGTTGGAGGAGAAAGTTTACTTAATCTGGCACTTGTTTTTGGTAAATTCCTCCTGAGTGAAACTGTAGGCAGACAGGAGGAAAAGACGGTGGAAATCTAGTCATCCAGCTCCAAGACCCCGCTGTGCCAGAAACAAATCATTCTAATTACATCAGCTCACAAATAGGAAGGCAGATTTTTCTTCTTCCCGTGCTGTTTAGCTGCAGGAATCTGGAGCGGGGCGAGGCGATGTGGAGATTTTTGGACGTGAGGAAGGCCGTTTAGTCCAAAATCAACAAGAGCACAGGAGTAATGACAAGAAAACTACAGCTTTCGGACTTCTGGGTTGGCAGATGAGGGTTGGGGGGGGGGGGGGGCTCGGTGTGTTTGCTCGAGAACGATGGAATCCATCATTTTTTCAGACGTACATGGAGAAAATAATTGAAAAATCAATGTTTGAGTTCCATGCCTCGCAGGCACCGCACAAACACATCCGAGTAGATGCGATGTGACGGTTTGTTGTGTAACCGAGCCCGGTGAGTCATGAGAGGGGGGGTGCAGTACCGAGATGGGTGGAGGAAGAGGAGGAGGAGGCCTGCCTGAGGAAGGACTGGCGATGACTGTCAGATCCGTCGGCAAAGTCATCCGGGAGGACGAGGCTGGACATTTTGGTTCTGGGCCTGGCCTCGACTTGTCTCCACGCTGAAGTGAGGCGTAAATAAATCTGAGCTCTGATGCAGATATGACTCTGGTCAGAAACAACATATGGCAGCAGAGCCGCGTACAAACACGCACAGCTCACTAAGTCTGAGGGAACTGATGCAGATTGAGAGGAGGAGGGAAGCAGACGGAGCAGACTGAAATAACAAATCCACTTTCCTCGCATTCACTCATACAGAAAAGCCAGGAGTGCGCTTCAGCTCGCTTTAAACTGTACTCCCACTAGAACCGTGCACAACATGTGCCAAGCACAAAATTATACCTTATTTGATTTTTTTCCTGCGTGTGTGTTTTGTGTGGCTGTTTTTATATCGACTTCCCCCCTTGGCCCAGGAGCTATTTGTTTTCAGAGAAGCGTAGGCAGTTTTGTTTGTATGTGTGCTTGATATCCGGCTGGAACATGTGAGCTGAGCACACACACGTCCGCGTTCGTTGTCGCACATGCCTGGATTCAGGCCGTGCCTCGGTGGCAGCGTTATCATCCAAAGAGGCAAACAGCCAGACCCTGATTTAATAAGCTGCCTGGGGAGTCACAGAGAGGTGGGAAAGCTCTATCAGCTGATAACTGTCCTCCCTGCAAGCCCAAGCTTTTTTCCTCTCCATAACCGAGCCAAGAGAAGACTCTGCTTGCATGCGTTTCTGTTTGAATGTGTGCATGTGTGTGTGCATGTGTGCATGTGTGTGTGTGCGTGTAGCGATCCCCTGCCGGCTGCTGCCCACGTGTCTGTAGGCTGCTTCGCTCTGGGTGTCAGACAGACAGCAGAGGAGAGCCCACACATGGCAAAGGCAGGCCCAATCTCAACGCTAAGGAGCATATGCTCAGAGCTCCAGTGTTTCTGCCCCCCCCCCCCCCCCCCCTCACACACACACACACACACACACACACAAACTTCATCCACACGAACACACACTTTACGTCAGGGATACCGATTCTGCCAAGCATTCTGACAGGATCCCCGTCTTCCTCTCTGTTCTACGCTTCACAAGGACCACTTAACAGGGCCGTCCGTTTCCACAAACCTGACAACAATTCTAAATAAAGTCACGACTAAAATGCAAACAGGAAAAGTTCTCCAGCGAATGTACAACTTGGCAGTTTTAAGGAGTGCATGTCGCCCACAGCACTTTATACTGGAGTTAAAATTAAGGTCTACTGCCACATCAATTTTTAACTCCTTTTTTTTTTTTTTATCACCAAAGTATAGTCATTTTTACATGTTCCAAGATGCAAACTAGAATATTTACAGGTGATGTGGCTTCTGCAGACTGTTGAGACTTTTAAATATTTGCTAAAACTCTTTTTTTCCCTTTGGAGTTCGATTCAGGCAGAGCTTGAGGTCCAATTAAAGATGATGGTGTTTCTTTATTGGGGACTGCCTGAAGGCAGCCACCTATTATTATTATTATTATTATTATTATTATTATTATTATTATTATTGTTATTGTTATTGTTATTGTTATTATTATTATTATTATTATTATTATTATTATTATTATTATTATT